CTTTTCACTAAGGTATTAAGAAATGTATTAGTGGGCCTCCCTGGTGGTGCAAGGGGTTAAGACGAAACCTATGAAGCTAACTGCAGCCACTGCAGCATGAGTTCAATCCCCGGCCAGGGAGCAACCCACATGGCACAGCAGACCTCTCCTGACTCGCCCGCTGTTCCCCTCAGCAGCGTATTTCAGTCCATCTGCCTGTTCTGCTCCCTACTGTGTCTCTGGTGAATCCCCTCACCCCCCGCCTCCCGCACCTCTGGCTTGTACTCCAGCTCTTGTATTCATAAAAATAAAATAAATCTTTTTAAAAAAAGAAAAAAAAAAAGAAATGTATTAGTGAGGGGAGCACCACTGAGATGGGCCCTTCAAGAAAATAGAAAGTGTGTCAGCGATTTCAGCACAGGGAATTCAACACGGGAATTGGTTACACCAATGTTGAGGGGCTGAATGAGGAAAATGGGTCATTCACTGAGGTTATCCAGAAATAATAACCCAGGAAGCAGCTACCAGTAGTGCTGAAAGAATAAAAGGAAGAGGCTGGGGTTGTACATCTAGAAATTTGGAAGATAGGCCCTTGAAAGCTGGGGTGCAGGCCCCTGAAGGGGGAGTGCCACCAGGTTGCTGCTGCTTCTAGAAGGTTAGACCTGATTCTGGGAGCATTCAAAGAGTACAAAATTGAAAGCAACTTCTGCAAACCCATTGCTGAGGTGGTACTGTCATGAATAGCAAGTAAACTCAAAGAAAGGAGTTTCCTTCCCTGCCTTCCTCCTTCCCTTTCCTGTCTAGAACCCCATAGTGACAAAACCTAGCAGAAATTCCACTAATAAAGAAGAAATATCATTTGGGGAAACCTAACCCAGCATCGTAAAGCAATACAGAAGAGTGGATTTGGAAATGAAGGACACTAGCTTAATAACCTGCACAGAACTTGCCTTAGCTCCTCCTCTTGAAAGCAAACTTCCCAAAGAGAGGGACTTTCTTGGAACCTCCCCGCCTTGCTATCACCAGACAGGGTTTGGTGACAGTGACTGAACCTCAGGGATGATGTGACTATTTCCCCTGCAACACTACCACCCAGTTTGGATCTTAAACCCCAATATTTATGAACACAGCCCTCCATGACAGTGTTCTGTGTCTCCAGCTAGAAAGGTTTTTCCTAGGATCATTTTGCAAAGTCCTAGCAGAAAAGCCCTGTCTTTTGTACAAGTGCACTAGCTTCTTGCTGTCAATGGAAGTATTGAGGACAACTTAATTTCTGCAAAATACCTTCTTTTGATTTTTAATCATCATAAGAGGCAGGGATCAGCTTTCATGGTTATGTGGGGATTTCTGAAGAGTTTTCAGATTAAAAAAATGTAATGCAGGGTCAAAGAAAATTGCAAGATCTTTCTAAAAATAACCTAGGAACCTGTAGAAAAATGCAGCATATATATCTATCTAAAATCTTTCTTAACCAAAAAAAATCTGACAGTGAGGACTTGTGTTCTGAAGAGTTCACAGTAACAATTGGGCAACTGATCACACAGCTCACTGGAGGAAGAGCAAAACACAACCATTTTATATCCAAAGGCAGAGTGATGGCATGATGCATAATGAGGACGAAGAAATTTTCATAATGGCCTTACAATGGTATGGTTATTGAAATGCTCAGCCCAGAATTATCTATGTCAAATTAATTATAGTTTCCTAGTCTTTTTCTTCCTACTGAAATAAAAATGATAATAAATGAACACCACTACTTGGCAAGATATAGATCAGCTTTTTCTTTGAAATACTTAGAATTCAATGAATATCAATTATATTTTATATGCTATGCATGAAAGGACTCCGACCATTAAGAACTGTGCAACATTATTTTTATTACAATGTCAAATACCAAAGAAAAAACATCCAGAAATTGCCGTGCATATTTGCATTTACAGCTTTTATTGTTTGAGGATGTGGTTATGAACCCAAATTCCAATGAGTCACATATGTTCTTGCCGGTAGTACTTCCAGGGAAAGGTTTACTTGAAGCTGTAGGATACTGGATCACTTCATGGAAAATGGAAGCTGTTTAATGTCAAGGGGTTCGAGGGGCATGAATTATTGGGGTAATTAATGTTCCTATGCTAAAAGTAGGCATTTTCTTCTCAACTTCCATTACTATTGGCTCCTGACACCAACGTCACTTAAGAAAGATTGTCTATTTCCTTCCTAATAATTTCTAAAACACAACAGAAATAAAGATCACGGGACACTCAAATAATTGAAGCAGCCAGTGAAGAGTAGGAAACCCTATCATGCTCTGTAACTCGCTCCATTGTTGATAAGAGCAAAAGGATAAAGAGATTGAAGTAGAAAAGCATATTTTAAACATGGAAGAATTATGTTTAAGGAATGGCTAATTTGTTTTCCTCTCCAAATCTTCAGTGCCTGGTTCTCTTGGGAAGTCTAATCAATTAAAACCCTACATGGTATTCTACTTGTGAGTGGAATGAGGAATACATTTCTCATGTTATTACATGAATGAATCTCATCTTCAGGGCTTTGAAATATAATTTTATCCAGACTATAGTGAATTTGTGTGTCATCTCATCTTTCTGCATTACAGTGAAATTGATTTTATGATTCCTTACTCATAAATTACTGGCCTGAGGCAGTAAGACTCGGAGATGCTTTTGCTTTGTCTTCCCAAGTCTCACAGGCTGAGTGCCGCTTGCTTGCTTGCTTTTTTTATTTTCTGAACCACATCTAGCTTTTGCAATTCTGTTTCTGGTCTTAGTTCTCAACTTAAAAAGGTGTTTTTTTTTTTTTTTAAGTCATCTGTGAGCCCCAGCATGTGTTGTTGGCTTATTTGGATTCTCTCAACTGAAAATTATCCCCAAAGCCTTTAGCACATCACTGGAATGAAACATTTTGTTAAGAATAGAATGATCACCATGCCAACGAATGCACATAACATGGGTACCATTAGGAAACTAACAACCACAAATATCCAAAGATGTCTTCCTTTTCTCCTCACCCTCACCTCCTCAAATGAGAGCAAAGTAACCCATGGGGATGTCTGAAATCCTGACAGCCCTACTGAGCCCTACTTTTGTGACAGGATTTGTTTACTCAGTCAGAATTGTTACCCTAAAGCCCTCCTCACTCCCCCTTTAAAAAGAGACTTGTTGGCTCCTTCATATACTGATGAGTGTAACTAAAGGGAAAAATCACAAACTGATAAAGCCATCTAAAATTCCTTTAATTCCTCAGACTCACCCCAGGAGATCAGGGAATTCCTTGGGGCCACCTAGAGGAGAATGAGAATAGGAAGGGAAACTGAAGTCAGATCTCTTCATTTTGCTTCTGGGCAGGTGTAACGCTGCCCTGCCCCTCTGCTAGCTGCTAGCCTGATTGCAGGCTTGAATTTAGGGAATGGGTAGGCGTTTCAGGGAGAAGCTAATGGAGGGTTACACATTCCCGCTCAACACGTGTCTGGCATGTGGGTCCTGTCTCCCTCAAGCTCACTTGGTTCTCTGTTAATTGGATATACAGCTACCTTGTGCCCCAACTCAGGGAAGGATAAACAATGTGGCCAAAGGAAGGGAACACTGAGCCCAAGCAAGGAGAAAGGTGTGGCCCTATAAGTATTTTACTAAACGAAATCTCACCCTGATATTCAGGTCATTTTTAAGCCTACTTAAACCTTTTGGTTTTGGTATTTCAATTGACTTTTTTGCCTTCTAATAGTTCTAGAATGAGATCATTTAAATTACGTATCATGATTATTCATTCCCAAAGCACAATGTTTGGAATGGTGCTTGACACAAATCTCAGAATGAAGGTGAAATGAAACAATCCTGGTAAAACAGGACATGGAACAGTTCTGCATTCTGTGTTGTTACGTGTGTTAGTGCCCAGAACCCTCACCCGACTGACTTCTTGAGGACAGAGACTGCTTCTTCTTGTTTTCCTATCCACCTTAAAACCTGGCCCATAGAAGTTCTCAGTAACTGTTGAATAAATCGTTTTGTTTTTGAAAGACATGTATCATTTCTGAAACATTGTTAGAAATACTATTGTGACAGGAAAAGAAAATCTCTACTGCACTCAAGAGTCAAACGATGAATAGTGAGTGCACAGGAAACAGACTTAGATGGATGTCACGGATGTGGGTCTTGGGGAGCAGGTGGAGTAACTCAAACACCAGTCTCCTGCAAGCTGGCTCATAGCAACAACTCTCTTATTGGCTTAAGACCAAATAAAACCTTTTCCAATTCTTCCAAGGATGCTTCAGCATTAAACTGTCATGCAGTACTGTTTTTTTTTTTTTGAGAGTTGCTCTAACAAAATCTCAACCTTAATATTTCTACATTAATTCTTTAAATTCCATTGAGATAAACACTGAACAAGTTTTAATTAACAGCAGTCTGAACTGGGCTGTTTAGACTGGGGATCTGTGTTCCTAATCAGCCGTTTTCTTTACAGGCAGCTCAGATCTTCAACACCTAGCCCACAGGTCCTTGTGAACCTCAGCCTGTCATCCTCTCTACGTCCTTATGACACTGATTTTGAATCACCTTGGCCGAAAAGAATCATGGGATTAATAATAAACTTTCCTCCTTCTAGTTGTGCCACTTATGTCTATTTCAGTTTTCAATTGAGAAACTTTGGCAAATACTCAAGCAAATCGAATTAGTCTACTTGTCAAAGAGAAAAGTTTTTATATGCTATAATATATGAAGAAATAATGTTTACCATAAATTCTTTAAGACTTGCATAAATATTTCTCTCTTTAGGGAAGTGATTATTAAGGAGTGGAGTGATGGATACACGCGTGGGTCACCGGGAGGGATTTTTCTCCTACTCTTATGATTTCTCCTTGCTCTCACCCTAGAATCAGTGCCCACTGATTGCTGTGTGTCATAGCTGTTGGTGTGTTGGTGGTTTGAATTATTATTCTAGACTTATCAGTGCACACAATGTTTCCAACTAGAATGCTATAAAAATGTAAGGTTGACATAATATAGACATGAGACATTTTGTTTAAATTACATTATTTATTTTTAGATTATCCCTCTTAGTCCTGCATGCATTGTTAGCACAAGAAGTTGAACGCGATCACACCTCCTTTGCAGAGAGAGTAGGTATACAATCACCTTCTTCACAGGCGGCCCGAGAATTCCAGGCCTTAGTAACACTGTCAGTAACCTACGCAATGCTCGATAGAAAAATTTACCAAATATCCTTTGTTTAATATAAACAAGGCAGGAGGCAAAACAGAGCATTATGGTAACACTATTTTACAGGGCCCAGAAATATGATTATCGATCGTGTGTCACATCAAGTGTCACAATGACATGCATATTTTGATTCGTAGTATAACCCAAAATGTAATTACCATACAATTTGTGGTTTTCACACTTCACTGTAACTTCTATGAAACTTCATAATTAAATGGCAATTATCTATTAATGCAATAATTTATGGAAATGTGTTACCATGAATTATGAAGTAATTTCATAATTTGTGCCCTGTAAAATTAAGTGTAACAATCTTTACACTAGCAACGGTGTAAGCAAGCTAAGGATTTTGGTCCTTATGTATATACATTTATATACACATGTACACCACAATAATATACAATTAAACCAAAAGCTATGAATCCACTCATAGCTCTCATATTGCACACAGATACATTATGAGAACATTACATAGTTATGAGTACTACGGTGATAAGTGGCTAAGGACAAATCTGTGTTCTAGCAAATAAGGAACGTGGCTCATTACTAAAAAAAAAGAAAAAAAAGAAAATCCAAAGACTCTACTGTCAGAGAAAATGTTTAAAAAAAAAAATGTGTATACCTACTTATATCAATATGAAGCAAGGCTAAAATCCAGTTTGGAAGTTGCTATGGCAATCAATTGTCACGGTGGTTATTTCCACCCAACACAGTGTGAATTTTAGTCACTGTTCTGCAAGTACTGAATAGTAGAAATATTCAGCTTCCAAGAGACAGTAAGAAAAAGACTTACTAGTCACATAGCACAGTGTTCCCCTCACAAATCCAACTCACTGTGGGAATTATGCTGGCTCTCGGTCTGAACTAAGTATGGGGGGAAATAAAAAAGAAACCTAGAAGATAAATTATTCCTTAAGCTTAAGCTGATTGCAAACCAAAGTCATTATAATAACTTAGGAAAACAATTGTTTTAAGAAGCAGCACACATACATATATAAGAGTTAAAGCTTTTCTGCTCTTGGTTTCATGGATTAGTTATAAGGTCCCGTTGTGGCATCAAAGATAAAACAGTATTTGGTTCAAGAGGTAACATCACTGCTATTACGCCTATTGAAACATTAAGAAATACCTAGTACCTCTTAATGCCTTTAAACAAACCTACTCACTGCATCTAACAAGCGAGAGGCTGCAGCACTCCTTGCATGAGTGGGTAACGCTTTCTCACCATTAAAGATCATTCAAGGAAAGCAATGCACAAAGTATCCCCCACATTTGTTTTTTCATTGTTTAGCTTAACACATTTCTAGAAAGAACTAATATACATTTGCATTAAATTAGAAATTTAGTCTTTTTTTGTTTAAGTGGTAAACATTCTACTGCCAAAAATATTCATAGTCTTCTGATATTTTGTTCTTAATAAATAGCAAAAACTAACTATAAAATAAACCAGAAAACTGATTCATCAAAATTAGCAGTAGGTGTAAAACAAGTGTCTATGCACACGCCACACAATGTATATATGCAGACATGCTGCACAGAACAGCTTCCCAGCAGAGCAGTGGTGTCCCTTTCAAGATGGAAAATCTGATAGTCTGCTCCCCTAAAACATCAGTAAATGGAAAAATAAAGAGAAAAGTGCTGCTGCTTAATATTTCAACTAAGAGGGAACAAAGGGGAAGGGAAGGGGAAAGAAGAAGGAACAGGGGGAGGGAGAGGGAAGAAAAGCAAAAGGTTTAAAAGCAGTATCTGAGTGATAAGCATCACTTAGGGATGAAGAGAAAGTGGATTAGCAAACACCATTTCGTAAATCAAGTCCCAGCGTGCAATGCACAGCACAGCTTCGCCAAAGGACCACATGCTCCCACACATCTACCCATTCACATACACTCAGTCTACCCCAATTCTTTACCATGTAAACAGGACAGACTGGTTAGTTTGTTTTTGAATTTCTTTAGGATCATTTAAAACAAAAGAATGAATAAAATGAAAAAAAAAAAAATGTAAACAATGAGGAGGCCACTGGCATTTTGATTGTTGCCTAAAAATCATCAGTCAATTCCCCTGCAGATACCACCATGCAGTTCACAAGGAAAATCAAATCACAAAGCAGCTTTCAGAGAGGGGGAGCAAGCCAGGCAAAAAAAGGTTTTCGAGGTTATGTTTATGTTAATTAACTTAAAAAATACTATTTTAGTAAACACTATCAATGGAAGGCCTAAATTCAATATGGTTGCAAAAATGACACAGTTTAAACTGGGACTCACACAGGAAAATCAAACACTACCATGGCTATGTGCACAAAAGAGTAAAAGGAGAATGTTTCTTTAAAAATATATATATTATATTAATCAAGAATTTTTTTATCATATTAAATTGTTATTCTTAGAAAAGCTGAAGAAAGTTAATGGTGCTCTACAGATCTTTATGTCTTATTATTAACTCATTCATTTGATGTTTCCTGAAATTTTTTTCCTCATTTAGAGTTTTTTCGTATTTTGTTTGATAAGAATTCTGACCTTAGAAAGTTATAAAATTAGTCCTTTTGTGCTACTTGTTAATCCAAAAGAATATAAGCATTTGAGTCCCAGAGAATGTCAAAATGCCTTGCTGCCTAAAAGGATATTAAAATAACAGAAATATCATCAAAGTCATGACATCAGAAATTTTGCAGCTTTTCACACAGTCATTAGAAATGCTTAGCTTCTGATTGTATCCTGGATTCAAGGACGTGAATGTTACATCTGGAACCATTGTGAGAAAGCCAATGAAAGCACTATACAGGTTTAACGAGAGTGTCACTCAGTGGGTTCTTAATGGTTCTGTCCAGTTTACAGCAACAGTTCATTTACAAATGCTTTGTATCCTCTTGGTTGGATGGAGCTGAGCTTTGTTGATGAAATGTACACGCCAGTTTCGGCCCTCAGCGTCCTGAAAGATGCTATTTATGGGGTGGAGGAAGCGTGGTATTTCACAAATGCAATTGCTGCCAGCTCCTTACAGAACTCCTCTAACACGATCACACCCTCCAGCAACGTGATGTGGTCAATACTGTGAGGGGAAAGCAGGCAATAAATCAACTCATGCCATTAGCAGCCCATCATGTTTGGGGGAAATTTTTAGATTAAAAAATATGTAAAAAACTGACTTACATGGGGCCTTCAGGCTCCAAACCAAGTAATCGCTTTCTTACTAACAGAAGCTTAGGCGTAAAGTCTTGAATGCGCTGGATTCGAACCATAAGGTCCCCAACAACCTGTATCAGAGAGACAAAAGGAACTCAGTTTCTATAATCAGCTCCACAGGGGTTTTCAGGATTAAAAAACACTCCATTTCCTATTACTAAATAAAGAGTATCTTTCATTCTAGGTTAATGGTTCATAATAGTGAACTTTTTGCTGTTCACATAACCATTTTTGATGAAGGACTCAATAACTATCCCTTAACTATAATAGCTGTATATATCACAAAATTTTTTTCTTCCATATTTTGTAATAAAATAATTACTTCCAATTATATCTAATCTCTCATTATGTGACACTATACAGTGACAATAAGACATTAACTGGACAGGTTTATCAATCCTAGAGAACAAAACAAAATTAATAACTCACCCTGACGATTACAGAGAAGAGAGATCTACAGCCCGAAGCAAGGTTCACATAAGGATCCAAAAGGTACTCGTGTATGTGTGGATGAGGGAAGAGAGAAAGTCTAGATAACACCGAGGTTACTTGTAAATTGACATCATATGGCTGTGGAGAGGTGAAAAACCAAAAGACATCTGACATCACTTAAAATACATGCACCTGAACACTTTATTGACCCTTTTAGTTCTTCCATTCCAAATCTACCATCTCACTCCACAAGCCCTTCTATAATGACACTAAACTAGCTCTCACCATCTTAGTCAAAATGCATGTATCAGGGGCCTAAAACTTAAAAACAATGCATATAAACATACATATTAAAAAAACCTCATACCATAGCCTGTTTTATGCAAGTGGTTTTATTTATTTTTTTATTTTTAAGATTTATTTATCCATACAAGAAGTGGGGTACAGGCCAGATGTGTGGAGGGTGAGAGGATTCACCAGAGACAGAGCAGGGAACAGAACAGGCAGACTGATGAAATACACTGCTGAGGGGAGCAGCGGGCGAGACAGGAGAGGTCTGCTGCGCCATGTGGGAATCTCCCCAGCCAGCAGGGAATCAAACCCGCACTGCAGAGGCTGCGGATAGCTTCATAGCGTTGAGCTCAACCCGCTGTGCCACTGGGGAGGCCCAAAGTTTTGTATTTTTGAGCAAGGGCAAATAATATCAACTTCACTTTTACAATAAGCAAATGTGACAAGTGGCTAAATAAGATGCCCAAGGTCAAATCTTTCACTGTCAGGGCCTCCCTTTTTCTTGGTGTCCTTGTGCTATAGGCCATATCATATTATTATCTTTTAAAAATCACGAGTTATAAATAACTCTGTTTGTGTTATAAGGCATTAAAAAATTAACTTTGTGACAACACAATTGCATCATAAATTATACGTGCAGATATTAGCTCCTTTATTAATTATCCACAGTAAATTTTTAATCTTAGTCTAACCACCCTGGCCCTATTATGGATATATACTAAGAAAATATAAGCAAATGCCACCCTCAGCAAAAACATTTAGAAAAGAAAGAAAATGAAACTAAATCAAGTGTGCTTAGCACACCAGGACTCATGATCATCTTTGAGATCTGATTATATAATGTTCTTACCAAAAAAGGCTCGGAAAATCAAGGATTTTCAAGACAAAAGGTTTGAGGCTGGGCTCCACAGCTCGCTAGCTGTTATGTTAACTGAGACTAAGGATTCCTCACTTATAAAATAATACTAGAAATCTGTCTCGCCTATTAATAGGTCACAGTTGTAGGGACAAAGACTGAAACACTGTATGTGAATCAGCTCCGCATTAGCAAGTGCTGCAATTGCATCTGAGGAAATGAAAGGAATTGAAGCCTTTCTGGATATTGTCTTTAGTACCTCCTTTTGTGTCGGCACTTCAGAAACTAAAGAGAAAAATGCTCAAGTATAAGGAAGATTCCAAAGGGATTTTTCCTCAATTCAGAAACTACTTTTGAAAATTTAGATTCTTTATTAGAGCTTTTGATGCAAATTTCTAGAGTATGACTTGATTTTGATATTATTACTGTATCTTGGACTTGCTTAATTAGATTCAAACTAAGTCTAGCAATGCACGAGCATGTGCATGCATGCATACACACACACACACACACACACACACACACAAATATGAATCCTGGCTACCCCAGTTCACTTCCACTGACAGTCATTGGGACAGACATAACAATGTCCCAGACATTAGTGCTTCTATACACCTTGGAGTAAGCAACCATTTTTATTTCCTCCCCGATTATGAAGAGGAGTAGCATTCATCAGTGCTTTGTCTGAAGAAGCAGGTTCATCTAATATTGCTCTGTGATTTTATGAGACCAGAGAGTTCAAGATCCAATTTGAAATGACGTTTAAGATCTTGGGAATCAAAGTTAACAAGTTTGCCTCTATCTGTATCTGCACTAACCAAAAGACTTTCCAGTTAGTCATAGAAGGAAAGCCCTCCAATTACCACCAGAAAGTGTTAAGGATATTAAGACAGTGACCTATAAGAAGAAATACAACACACAATTCCATTTTAGCCATCAGGTCAAATAAATGCTTTTAACATGATAAATGCTTGGAAACAAGTAATAAAATATGAAAAATGAATATTTTAAAACTTATTACCTGATCAAGGATTCTTCCCATTCTGTCAAATAAAACTTTCAAAAAATGGCCTTCAAAGAAAGCTGCTTCTAAATTGCATCTTTCCAAGGCCTTCGGAGACCCAGGCCACTCCCATCTCAAGCAGATAGCACAGTAGTCCCGGAACTAGGAGGGGGAAAAACAGCATTTGGACCATTAAAGAACTGACACAAAACAAATTCAGATGAAACAGAAATGATTCCCCAAACAGGCACCAAAAAATCCATTTGAATGCTGAGAGCGTCTGTAACCCGTGAGGTGTCACAGGAGAGGGGAGAAAGAGATGACTCAGGATATGGCCTAACCAGAGGCACATGGGAAGATCACAGTCACAGTAACCACCGTGTGGATGAAAAACAGGCAGGGTAACTTTACCAAAGAGCCCGTTTAACTACTGTGCTTAGCTCTTTCCTTTAGAGGAGTTTAGCCCTTTATATATTTTAATAACATATAGAGGTTATTTAAAAAGTAAGGTGAGTCTATCCTAAAATGGGGCACAGAATGGATGAGCAAAGACACGTCATCTGAGAGGCCAGTCTGACCCTCCTGTGAGGAACTACACACGGCACGCGGCTACCACAGCGTAAGCGGTGCTGCTCAAAGTGTGGTGTTCCACATACCAGTGCTGGTCCCCATGCTGACACCACTGCAGTGAGGTGAGTATAAAACTGAGAGGAGCTTTTAGAAACTCTTCCAGCAATTTGATTTAGTGAATTTTATGTCAATCGAATCTAACAAAACAACTGGAGTTTTTATTTTATGTGTTTTTCCCACTTTTCTGGTAGTTCATTTTTATTACATTTCACCAAAGTGTGGACCTGTGAAACACAGGATACAATAAGAAACTGGCTCTTCACTATACTAAGTTTATCTGTAGTTAAACAGTATCAATGTTTATCAACAAAGACTACCTCATATAATAAATTTTAAGTCTTCCATTATGTAATTTACTTGAATTTAAATAAAAGAAATTTATAGCATAGTTTTCCTCTTTCATATTCTGTTCCTCTTCAATCTCCTTATTCAATAAAGCAAAATTACTTTGATGTGAAATTAAAACACATTCTTAGTTAAAAGAAGAGCATATTTAAAACTACTAAAAATGAATTTCTTCAAAATCTTTTGAGTTTTAAACTATCAACTTTCAATAATTTTCTTTATAAAGATGTCCCAATTTTTAGTGATTCATTTTTACAATAACACTTTTGAAATTCTGACCTAAAAAGTAAGTTTCTGGTTTTGCCTATTTTCTAATGTTGCTGAAATGATCAATACTTGCATTTGTGATCAGAAAATGGAGATGAGAGAAACTACAGAAAGAAAAAAACACAGGTTTATGAAATTGCTTGGTAAGGAGATTGGTGTCACTCATACTACCTCTGCTGTTATATGAAGGTAGTAGCTGCCCCATTACTCACGTTACTCCATAATAGTGTAGAGTTGAATTTAGGTTTAAAGCATTATAAATGATAGGTATTTGCAAATTGATTATATATAAAGTATACTTCAATCCAAAGAATTTAAATGAAAAATAAATCTATATTTTTCTGATTTCAGACATTTCAAAATTTAGAATTTTATAAATGCTACACAGAAAAGTTTTTGAGAGGCATCCAATTTATTAAGAGGAGACATTCGAGAGAGCAGTTTCAGTGAGGTAGAAAGCTAGAAAGCCAGGGACGAAGGAATAAGACTGTGACAGAAGAGTCAACTCTTGTAGTTCAGGGCTTGTGTTAAGAATGGCGGGGGAAGAGGAAGGGTAATGGCCAAGAGACTGGGAGCAAGGAGGGTAGCAGGTAGGAGCAGTAAAAATCATATTTTGGATCAGCAGGGGAAAGGATTTGGGGGAGCTATAATTTCAAATACAGAAAGAAAGAATAAAAAGGGAGGGATTGTGAGAGAGATGTGTGCAGGAGCAGTGGAAAGGGAGAGGGAGAAAAGCAAGTGTAAGAAGCTTGTCAGCAAAATGCAAAGCGTAACCATTTGCAGAAAGTTAAAGTAGTGAGAGTAGAGTTCAGGTCTTGCAGAGAAAGGGAAGCCTTTGGAGAAATGCCTGGGCAACATGGCAAAGTGGGTGTGCATTCCTGTTAGATTTCCTTTGCTTCACCTACCTGCCTATGAGCATCTCGGAGGTAGGTGTCATATCCAGTGCCCTCAACATGGTAGGATGATTTTGCTTCATCAGGCACCAGACAGAGAAAACTTAAATGAAAAAAGACATAAATGTTATCACAACTCAGTATCTTTCTGTGTACTAAAAAGTCTAGCAATATCTTCAGTTTAGTCAAGTATTAGTGCAAATGGAAAAATGAAATTGAAAATAAAACTGAAAAACATAACGATATATTCTTAATATATCTTGAATCATTTCAGAGATTAAATATTTCACTGTTCTACAAAAGGTTTTATTTTTTAAAATTACTCATTCTACTTAAAGTAGAAGTAAGCCTATGACAATTCTTTTCTTTTTTACATTATAACACAATGACAGATCATCATGATATTTGTTAATCTCAGGAAACTGGCTTTAAGTAACTGGACTTAGTTTTTTTATCCACCCTAATTTTGCATCATGAGTCACATCCTAAAGCCACCTGCCAGAACCAGGTATACAGGTGACAGCAGGCAGAGGAAGAAAATTGACACTTTTGATCTGAATGGGTACTTTCAAAAAAAAGTGAAAACAAAAGTAACAAGAAGGAACAGCCCTCTGCACAGAGCATACAACCACACACCTGGTAAGTGCCCTGGGCCAGCTAGAAACACAACACCGCCTGCTGGGGTTACCTGACAGTCCTTATGGAAACAAAACAGCAGGGAACATTGAAGGTCCATTTAAACACTGTTACCTGTTTTTATTTCTATAACAAGTCATGTTTTCTCTTGGTATGGACTGCTGCCTCTAGGCTGGCAGGTGCTACATGTGACAGAAAGCTGACATAATCTTTAAAGGGAAAATTTAGTAATATATCTCTATAATAACCTAAGCAGAGGTATTACATGTTATAAAGACAAGTCAGAATTCTAAGTCAAATTTATAGAGCAACTCACCTATTTACAATTTTATGGACTTCAGTTTTCCCATCACTTTTGGGGTGGTCTGGAGTAGCAGGAGGTGAAGAACTAAGCCACTCTTGGTTTGACAGCATGTTATCTGGTGAAATGTCAGTAAATAATGGATCTTCTTCCAGATCTCTAAGTTTAATTTAATGATGTATAAAAAAAAGGTTTATTATATTTTCTAAATCAAAAGATTCTCACTATGTTCTTAGAAAACATTATTTAACTTTGCTAATAAAATAACTAAGGAATAATTTATATTTTAGACAAATTAACATTATACTAACAGAATGATATGTGATATGTTGGGGTTTTTTAAGGATAGTGGATAATACCATTTGTAATTTTTTATTTATTTTAATTTATTTATTTTGTAGAAGAACTGGAGTGTAGGACAGAGGTGTGGGGGGGTAGTTGGGGGCGGGTGGTAGTGAGAGGACTCACCAGAGATAGAGTGAGGCGCAGAACAGGCAGATTCACTAAAATATCTTGTTGAGGGGAGCAGCGGGCAAGATAGCAGAGGTCTGCTGTGCCATGTGGGTTAGCTCCCTGGTGGGGGATAAACTTGGGCCTTAGCAATGACAGCAATGAGATTTAATCCCTAGGCCACCATGGAGGCCCCAATTTGTAATTTAAAGGAATGGGCATCTTAGTTTTATTTTTAAAAATCTTTTAAACTCTTACAGGTTTATTTTTGTGAATAAGCAAGAGTATAAGAGGAGAGGATCACAATGCTACACGGAATGCTAAACTCACTGAGCGGGATGGAGACTTACACTGCTCCTGCAATCAGTCCATTCTCCACCACATCCTTGTCTTCTGGACACATGGGTTTATACTCAGTATAATTTCTTTCTTCAAGATTTCTTAGGACTAAGTTATAAAGAATGTGCTCATTCGGTTTTTGTAAAAGATGCTCAAACATTCTTAATGTCATTATGCTTATCTGAAACCAAAAAATGATAAAGGCTAACTGAAAAATACCTTTAAATAAATTCTTCTTGCCAGCTATAAATCACACTTTCCATTTTTAAAAACTCTTTTAAAAAAGAGACTATTCAAAACATCAGAAGCATACTAAAATCAGTATTGCAAAGACTCTGAAGTCCAAGTCTGAATCAGCACGTAGCTTACCTCATCAGATATGTGATCACAATGTTCAATTAACCGATGTCTTAATGGGTGTCTGCTAATTTCTGCCAGAGTTTCTGGTTCCCTTTGTTCCCCAAGGATAAAATACACCATTTCTTGAAGCAAAACATCAGAGGTTACTTGCCGAACAATACGATGAAGCAGAGCAGTTGACGTCAGAATACCCATCTCAGAACTGAATATAAAAAACAGGTAATTAGTTGGCAAAAATAACACAGTGTTTTGTTTTGCTTTGTTTAAAGTAAAGAAGCTACTCACGTTTGCATTAACTGAGGCTCCATAACACCAATAAAAAATCTCTCATGAACAGCTTTGGCAAGAGCAACAGCAGTGGTCTAGAATGTAGTATGGACATCATTATTTTTTTTAATGGAAGAGATTAAATTGTACTGTCAATTTTCAAATCCACTGGATTTAGATAAGACAAACTTATCTACTGACCATCTTGTTGATGGCAGGCAAATCTAGTTTAGGTGTTAGCTATTGACGGTCTTTATGATTTATCTAAATTTCCAAGAATAGTAACAGCATAAAAATAGTCCCCTACTCACCTTATGGTATTAGCATCTCCCTAGAGAGGAGATGTGCAGGGAGAGCAAGGTCACCTTGTAAAGTGTGCACTCTATCAGTTAAATAAATATAGGGACAAAACCGCAACTCTGATTTATTCCAGAGTTCTCTCTCCCTCCCTCCCTAACCCCCCCACAAACATTTTCTTGTTTATTTGGTTTTATTTTGTAATGAAGCTATGCTAAGACAATAAAATATATTTGGAGATATAAAGTAAAAATTCAAATTTTACTTAATAGACATTTACATATTTAAATTATCCATAAATATCAAAAATATTCAAACCTTTTGTGCTTCCTTTATGAGCTGATCACAATAATCAAACCAGGAAAGAAATGAAATTAAGGCTCGTTTTCCTGGAAATGCTGAAGCATCTTCTTTGTGACTATAGGAATCCAAGCTGTAGGACAGAGAAGAAATGCTATGTTCAAAGTTACCCATAAGCTTTAATCCAATTCAGTCCATATAGAAAGATGAAGGCATATAACTGAACTCACAGTGTGATTTTTTTATAGAGCAATGCTGAGTGACAATCAAAGAGAGACAGAAAGTCAAAGATAAAACTTTTCAAATGAGAGTTGTAAGTAATTTTCTCATATATAGAAAAAGAATGCAGAATAGAGGGGATGCAGGAGAAAAACCATTTAGTCAGCTATCCATAATTCCACCAAAAATCTGACCAAATAACAGAAGTGAAAATTAAGAGGTTCTCAGCTGCTGGGATGGAAGAAAAGAAAGGTAAAGGAGGATCTTCAAAAAGAAATGACCAGGAGCCTCCTGGTGGCCTAGGGGTTACTTTCAGCCCTATCATTGCAAAGGCATGAGTTTGATCCCCAGCCAGGGAGCTGACCTACATGGCACAACAGACCTCTCCTGTCTTGCGCACTACTCCCCTCAGCAGTATATTTCAGCAGATCCACCTGTTGTGCTCCCCACTCTGTCTCTGGTGAATCCTCTCACCCCCTGCACCTCTGGCCTACCCCACAGTTCTACACAAAAATAAATAAGCATTTCAAAAAAGAAAGAAAGGAATGAGCAGTCTGCTTTCTGCCTTAAAATACAATCTAGGGGAAATGCTAACAAGTGGCTCTACTGCACCCTATAGATACTGACAGAATATCAGTTTAAAAAAAAAAAAAAAAGACAGGGCCTCCCCCGTGGTGCAACGGTTGAGTGCGGGATTGCGAAGCTGCCCGCAGCCTCTGCAGCACCGGTTTGATCCCCGGCTGCTCCCCGGCCACTGGAGGAGGATCCCACATGGCGTGCAGACCTCTCCTGCCACCGGCTGCCCCCCTCAGCAGTGTACTTCAGTCTGCCTGCTCTGCTCCCTGCTCTGGCTCTGGTGAGTTCTCTCACCCTCCCGTGCTTCTGACTGTATCCAGTGCTTGTATAAATAAATAAAAATAAATCTTTAAAAAAAAAAAAAAAGACAAGTGAAAAAGAAGAGTTAAAAATACACAAAATAGGTTATTATGTCAAAATATTAGACCGCTTTTAGGTGGTATGATTATGGGTAATTTTATTTATGTTGCTTTATACTTTTTAATAATGTATAAATGTTCTTCAATAATCATGTTTTCCTATGAGAATCGAGGGGGAGCCCGAAAAGATGGGCAGAAAGGATGGAAAAGTAAGGCAGAGAGGTTCTATCCAGGCAGATCACGAAACATGAGACTGTGGCAGGGGCTGTGGGACTTGGAGAGCCCTTCTTTCAGGTTTTTTGTTTTAAATAATCATATGAAATTGTTGGTTTTCATGTAAACTCTTAAAAATCGATCAATATAATGGACAAAGGGAAAACAGCTTAACTATGTAATAACTGGATTGTTCCCATGCAAATTTATTCCCACCTATTGATTAAAAGACCAAAAATAAGTCTCAAGAAATAATCCCATTTAATGATCACCAATAATATTACATTTTTCTAAACAAAAGATTCTTTCATTACAAAGCAGGATTTAGAAGTGTAGGTGTGAGAATTCACCTCTACGAGAAAACACCGATAATGGTTCTTACCCCCAGTTGATTGCTTCCACCGTTTCAATGTCCAAGGGATCCACTGACTGAGGTAGCGCCTTGTACAGGGAGGCGAGTCTGTCCGTCAGCAGCTCGCACAGGCAGGTGCTCTGTGAGAGGCACTTGGCGGCCGCTGGCTCTGGCAGACTCACCAGCAACATCAAGCCCTCGCAGGCTTTCACAGCTATCCGGCCGTCCTAGGGGAAAGCCACAGTCCTCAGCGTGTGAATTAGGCACACACCAAGGTGTCTGGGAAAGTTCAACTTAAAAAGATGTTTTCTGCTAAAATAAGAATAGCTTTCTTTTTCTATTTTAAATACATCTAACTTTGATTATGGGGCGGGGGAGAGTGGGGAGTAAAGGGCACTCACCGGACTTCTGGTGAGATTTAACAAAGAATTCACTAAATTGTAATCCTGGTTCGGACGAACAACTGCAGCCTCTGGCAGTGAAACCACATTGAGATTATCCAGGCTTGAGGATAGGTCGTCCACCTGCTGAGGAGGCTCGTCCTCTGACTCTGCCTGCTCGGGCCCTGCGGCACCAGGGAGCTCCCCTGGCAGGCAGGACTGTCCTGTGTCTGCCGACAAGGAATCTTGACCTTTTCCTGTGTCTTCTGAAATTACATTCGGTGCTACTCTGGGAGCGAATGATTTCAATTTATTCTGAAATGAAATACATGTGTTTTAAGATTCACATCAAGAGCCTTATAAAACAGCAATCATATTTTCTAACAGACTTTTCTCTAACATTCCAATGTCTAGCCAATGTAGTGATGGGCAAAAATATGACAAATGGAAACACTGAGACTTTAACAAATTATGTTTCAAAGACTCTAAAGTTCCACAGACACTTAGGGCACTCTTCACACTGACTATACACTGTTTTACACTGACCATAAAGAGTGAATTATACTGCATGTAACTTACACCTCGATCTTTTTAAAAAGAAAGTCAAAATGATTTTTTTAAAAACCAAAAAAAAAAAAAACACCAAAGTTCTTTTTTCCTAGTGTATTCCTAAATGACCTCACTGCTGAAAAAAAGAAGTGACTGGGTGCAGGAAGTACACAGCAATTATTTTCTAATTTAAACTGAAAGTGAAATCTAAAGTATCAATTGGTTTAGATAAACTGATGTGGTAACTTTAGCTACGAAAAGAGAGTACAAACCAGCAGAGCAAACTCAACTGTTGCACCACACTGGAGAGGTGACCTGTGATTGTTGGCATCTTGTCCAAATCTGCACAGAACACCCCACCCGGGGCCACACAGAATTAAATTCTCTTAATAATTTTAGTATAATTTTAGTATTAGCATACACAGAGGGCTGACAGAAGTACCATACCTCTAGGAAAAAATTAACCAGGTAGGGGTCTTGTTTCAGCTTTGCACAAACAATACAAAGAAACTGAATTTCTTCATTTTCGGTTGGGGTTGCAAGGACTTCACCACAGAGTCTAATTAATTTCTGTCAAAAAAAAAATACACATTTTAAAACTGGGTCTTCTCGGTGGCGCAGCGGGTTGAGCGCTGTGCTAGGAAGCTGTCTGCAGCCTTTGCAGTGCAGGTTTGATTCTCGGCTGGCCAGGGAGGGACCCACATGGCGTTGCAGACCTCTCCTGCCTCGCCTACTGCTCCCCTCCGCAGTATCTTAGATCCGTCTGCCCGTTCTGCTCCCCGGTCTGTCTCTGGTGAATTCTCTCACCCTCCCGTGCCTCTGGCCTGTACCCCAGTTCTTGTATAAATAAATCTTTTAAAAAAAAATTTTAAAACTTAGGTCACTTTTTACAGATACAGAAACAGTCTTCCATTTATTAAGGGTATCTAAATTTTTCAAATAATACAAATATTTTGCATTATTTAGATAGAACACTATTTACAATCTTATACATCAAAATAAATGTACTAATAAAAAGTCTTTCAAAATAAATTTACTAGTAGTAAGTTTTTCAAATATGTTACCCTAAAAAAATCAATGAAGTATATAATAAACTCCCCCTGAGATGTCATGGTGAGAAGTTAGAGAAAAAATTAATAAAGATGTGAACATTTAATACAATAGCATGCCTAAAAGAAGCTTAAGTATTTGCTATTTGCATGCCATTTTTAGAGTAATTTCCTGTATTTATTTTTTACTCTTAGGAAAAACATATAAAATTATTTCTGTACTAAAACAAATCAAACAATTTTACTCGAGAACTAGATACCTGCACTGGCCTGTGCACATTAATGTGTGGAAGCAGTGGCTGCCGGATCCTCCCCAGAAGTTTCGTATAGAACACCAAGACCTGCTGTTTCATTCCAGGAGGACACTGGAGACAGGTAAAAAGGAAAGCAAACAAGAAAAGAAAGGACAACGCAAACACATTTACTCAGAAGCTTAAAAAAGGGGAGAGGCAATGTATTTAAATGTGTTCTATCCCAAACAAGTCAATGCAACTAGCCAATTAATGACTTTGTCAGACTAAAAGTCCTAATCAAGTATTAAGAATTAATATTAATGGCTGATATTATAGAAATAAAATTACATCTGGGATTATAACAGGGTATGGAACCACAGACAGACATAATTACAAACAGTGTGGTGATAATACGCTACTGCGATTAGAGTTTGCTTCAGGTAACATCAACCTGCTTATATTCCAAATGTGAGGATAACATGAAACTAAGAGAGTTAACTCCCTGGTCAAAGCAAAGGCAGGATCTTGTTACTTACACTAATGACACATGTAATCAATAACATCCTATCACACATACAGAGATACACCAAGGAGTAAACAAAGCCTTCTAGATACATATATATGCAAATAAAAGGAATCCTATAGTAAAAACAGTTGTGATTTATTCCAACAATGCTGCTTTAAATTAGTTGCAAAATTATTTACATTGTGATTATTATATTTATTTAATATTTAATAAGGAAGTATTTTTAAGATGCCAGTTTTAAATATTTACTGAAAAGTGATAAACTTGATTACTCACACTGTAGATTAAGAGAACATGAATTAACAAGGCTATACTTTCCATAATTAACCTGCTTATATTGCTTCACATTGAAGAGTCATAAAATGAGTATTTCCAAAGCATCATCATAGACATGCTGTCTGGCAATAGTATAAACTATAATCTTAAGCACAGTAATGATTTTTAAGATACCAAATACCTTGCATTGTTCAGATAAAACATGAAAATTTACAATCACCCATTATCAAAATAAATTCACCAGTACAATTACTAACATCTGCTCAAAAATCAATATTATGCAACTAGTGTTGTACAATCTTTCTAAGGGAGAAAGAATGGAGGAGAAAAATGAACTGCAAGGTATTAAGGAGCAAATGTGTTACCTAGAAAATATAAATGAAATAAATTTAACTTAAAAATGAATTGGAGGGCCTCCCTGATGGTACAAGGGGTTAAGACGCAACCTATGAAGCTATCCGCAGCCACTGAGTTCGATCCTCGGCCAGCCAGGGAGCTACCCACATGGCGCAGCAGACCTCTCCTGATTCGCCCACTGCTCCCCTCAGCAGTGTACTTCAGTCAATCTGTCTGTTCTGTTCTCCACTTTGTCTCTGGTGGGTCCTCTCACTCCCCCCACCTCTTGTATGCATTAATAAATCTTTAAAAAAAAATTGGAAAAATATGAACTGGAGAAAAATGAATTGGATTATTATATATTTAAGAGGAGATAGTCTTTATTATTATTCATAACTCTATTGATGTTTAAATGTATCTATTAGCTTGGGTGTTGTTTTTTTAATTTGGGTCTCACATGTATTACGGAAATTCACAGAACGGAACCACTGATATTTTAGAGTTGGAGGAGACTCCCATGGCACATACCTCCTTGTTTTTAAAGTGTAGGTAAATTAACCTTGCTGAAGGTCATAGTGTATCAGTGAGGAAGCAAGACTGTCTAACCCAAACCCAAAGTTCTCCTTCCCCTGCCCTATCACGAGGTTTGAAACTTATCTTCATAAGTGAAGTTTTGTGATACGGAATATTATCTATATGTTAGCTTTATAAAGATTCCTCAAGATTCCTTAAAAACTTGAATAGTCTCCATTCATCAGTATAATTATTTTCAAAATAATCAATGACATTTTCTTTCAGGACTGAAAAATAATTGCTCTTTTTGTAACCCAGTTTTCACTGGATTCCTTCTCATCTTCTTGGCTTCTGAGCACAACAAGTAGTACTTATTTTCATGAATGTTTACATTGTACTTTTAAGTAGCCTAGGTACCAGGTGTTACTTAGAGCATCTGGGAGCTTGGCCATCTCTATCTAAAGTCACATTCGTACAGGCAGCACAATTTTCTTTTCCCCACACTACTGACTTGACTCCTGCCATCCTTAGTACTTACCTCTCTAGTTAAGCTTGTCTTTATCTCTAAGACATTAAGGCATTACATGCCCAAGAACGAGATATGGACTAGGAACTTACATCAGCTTTCCCCAAGGTATATAATGTTTCCAAGATCTTGTGATGGAGCAAATATTCCATGCATGGCCCTGTCTCTCCAGATTCCCGTTCATTTTCTTCTTGTACCAATATATCTAACATCTGTTCCAGATGAGATGGAATATTTGTATCTGTCACTGGGGCTTTATCATCTAAACAATAGAAAACAATTATCAAACATTTAAACTGCCTATTTGCAACTAAAATACTCTTTATTTCCCCATTCTTATTCAAACTGAGAAAAATCTGAAGTATAAAAATATTCAACCAGTATTCTGAAACATATTCTATAAGCTAACATCCATGTATAATTTGAAAACAAGATCATGTTCATGGGAACATGATCAGGAGAAATACATGTAACATAAGAATTTTGTGTGAATTAGATTTTTTTTTTTTTTCAATGAGCCAGTTCAGAAGACCTGAATTTTAAATCTGTTTCTACAGAAACAGGTTGGTCTGGAACAATAAGCTGAATGACCTAGAATATGTGGAGAGGACAGGTTCTGTTTCTGATTGCTACTGCATCACTCTGTAAACCAGGGAAAGTGAGACACCGTAAGTTCATCTCCACCTACGGAAACATGTGGAGCCCAAAGGAAAATCCTCAGTCAACATTTACTCTCATTAACAGATAGCTATTCCTAAAATCAAAACTGCTTATTAAATATTTGTGAGTTTGAAATAAAAATTCATTCATTTTACATATCACAATTGAACTAAAAATCACATGGTTTTATCAACTATCTTTGTAGTACAAAGGTTAAGCTATTTTTAATTTAATGGGATGTTTTATAGAATGCTTAAATGCAGTATATATTTAGAAATGTCAAGTTCTCTTTTTTTTTTTTGTGGGACCCTCGCTGGCGGCTGGGGAACGAACCAGTGCTACAGAGGCTGCGGGCAGCCTCGCAGCCCAGCGCTCAACTGCTGCGCCACCAGGGGAGGCCCTAGAACTGTCAAGTTCTAACTATGTCTCTATTATCACTTAGGACTTTCATACTCTGTACAATACGACTCCAGTGTGCCATGTATTTGATACACGACTTGGTCTGTCCATACTCACACACGTATATACAGAGGAAGCCCTACCACTCAGTCATGTGAAGAATACAATAAAAAGAGAAGGGTCACTCTTGTTTCCCAGGAGGATGTATATATCAAATTTTATATAATATGTGATAGGTGCTAAAAGCATGGGAGTTGGAGTTACTCAGATTGGCCTCAAATCTTGGTGCTGTTCCTGTTAGCTGGAACACCGAGGCAAACTAGGGAAGCTCCAGTCACCACCACTCATAAAACAAAGCTGATCATCACGGGGGAGAGCTGTAGGAATTCAATGAAACAATGTGTGTAAAGCCCAGGGCCTTAGCACACAGAACTCAAGAAATGTTAACTTAATATATCTCATTTCAGTCTTCTAAAATGAGTAGCCTAGTCGTAAGAAAAGATAATTTGTAAGTTCATTTGAAATTTACTTTTTAAAAGTGTTTTCCCCCATACTTGACTCCTGCCACCCAGGAAAGAAGAAATGTTCAAACACAGCTTGATTGCAATGATTAATAGGGTGAATGACCAGAAAGACATTTTAAAAACTGAGAAACAAATGAACTATAAATTTGACCTGGCAGGATTAAGTTCTTAGCTTCCTAAAACAAGATCTGGTTCCTGCCTTCACCTCCCCTCATTCTTAAGTCCCTGTGCCTTTGCAAATGTTCTTCCTTTTCCCTGGCACACCTTCACCCTCTTTATCTACCTCAAAATCCCCTACTTATGCATTAAAAGCTACTCTGGACCCTCCACGCGTCCTCATATTTTTCTCTTCTTTGTTCTCTTTATCTGACACATTTATTTGCTGTATATTTTATTGTAATGTACAATTATAGTTACTACAATTACTGTAAGGTACAATTGTTTGTTCTGCTTCTAGACTTAAGAACTTAAAGCATTCTCTTTAAAACATTTCCTTAGGGCCTCCCTGGTGGTGAAAGGGGTTGAGCACAGCACCATGAAGCAATCCCCAACCTCCACAGCACCAGTTCGATTCCTGGCCAGCTAGGGAGCAACCCACATGGCGCAGCAGACCTCTCCCGACTCACCCGCTGCTCCCCTCAGCAGTGTGTTTCATTCAACCTGCCTGTTCTGCTCCCCACTCTGTCTCTGGGGAATCCTCTCACCACCCCCCACCCCACTCCCCGCACCTCTGGCCTGTACCCTAAAAAAACCATTTCCTTAAAGCTTTGTGGGGTGGGCATAATTCACAAAGGCTAACAGTCATTTGAAAAGGCAACTCCTCTCAAAAAAATGTTTTTATAGATTTGCTGTCTATACATCCAAAGGAATTAGAGATTATATTTTACATGTAAAGATATGCAGATACACATTCTTTCATTTATTACATAAATATAAATAATTTTTTCTTTTAAAGGTGAATCACCTACCATTCACCAGTCTGCAAAACTAACTTCTCATTTTTGCAAGTTTCCTTTCACTTAAACGACACATGTCCAATCTGCACACGCGCTAGTGTGTACCTATGCACCCTCCAAGGAGCCTGTGGTGCTATGTGGCACTGACACTGTGTGTCCAGGCAGGACAAATCCAACCCTGTCATGTTTTAATAATTCTTGTTCTCCTACACAGTGATGATGGCCACTTCTGTGCTGCAACAGAACTGAGCAGCTGCAACAACACTAGGTTTCCTAGTGAAACCTACCGAGCCTGTAATATTTACTATCTGGCCCTTTTAAAGGAAAAAAGGCTAATTAATTCACACTCCCCATCCCTCCTATTCACTGAGAAAAACAGAACCAGAAAGCAACTCCCAAAGGCTCCCTAGACGGCATTTACCCTCTTCCTTCCATGTCCTGCTTTCTACCTATTTTTATGAACTAACTATCCACAGCCTAGGAAGGCTCCACTTGTGCACTAGATCCCATCTGGTCTTGCTTATTTAAGGACATTGCCTGGAAATTAGCTCATTCCATGCTGACTCCATCTTTACCTTTTCCTGTCTACTAGATCATTCCCATCAAATTATAAACTGTAGAACCTACTATCTTTAAAAAAAAAAAAGTTTAAACCCTCTTGACACATCTCAGTCTGGGTATTGGTCCATCTCTGTTTCCTTTTGCACCATCGCACCTCGAGAGAGAGAGAGGAGTCTATACACACTGTCCATTCATGGTGTGTTTTCTCTTAAACTTACTCTGATGTGGCCTCTCACTACCCTGCCATTATCAAGAGCACTAATGAGCTCCTCGTGGCTAAATCCAATGATCCACTCTTAGTCCTCATTAACTTGACGTTAGCATCAATGGACACAATCCCTTTCTCCTTTTCTAGCTTCTAGCTCCTGGCAGTCTTCTACCTCACTGACAGAAGTGAAGTGTCATCTGCTACGGTTCCCTCACCAGTGAGCCCAAGGGCTCAGTTCCTGAACCTCTCTTCATTGAGCCTTACTCCCTAGATAACCTCATCCAATGTCATTGCTTTAAATTCCAGTATGTGTTGATGACTCTCCCTTTCACATCTCTGGTTTAGATCTCTACCCTGAATTCCTGATTTCCATCTTTCAACCATCTTCTTGGCACATTCAGCTGGATGTATGAGCTTCTTTAAACCTAACATGTCTAATTACTCATACAAACCTGTTTTGGGAGTCTTCATCCTAAGTGGCCCTTCTATTTTTCCATCTAAGACTTTGGACATTACCTTGATTCATAGTCTCTCATACCCAATATCTGATCCATTTACAAGCTTCCTTCAAAGTAAACCCAAATGCAATCACTTCTTACCAACCCTGCCCTGGCCTAAGCAACCAACAGTGCTACGACCACTGTACCCACTCAATCTAAATTTCTTCACAGAAGCCAAAGTGCTCCCTTTTAAAGCAGATTATATTTCTGTTCAAAACCCTCTGAAGGCCTTCCACCTTAAGAATAAAAGCCGAAGTCCTTGCAGTGGCTTATAAGGCCTGGGATGAATCTGCACCCATACCTGTGGGCTGGCATCTCCCACCATTGTTCTCCCAGCTCTCCTGGCGCTCGTCAGGCTTGGCTGTGGGTCCTGAATATGTCAAAATGCTGTGTGCTCCCATCTCAGGGTTCATCACTAGGTCTCTTCTTGGGCCTTTCCTGCCCCTGCCCCTCAAGCCTGCTTCCTCTCTCCGTTAGGCTTCAGCTCAAAAGTCACCTGGGCAATTAGGCTGTCTCTAACCTTAACCAACTAATTGCCTCACCCCCACCCCCAAGAACATACCCCCTCAGGCTGCTTCATGTTCTCCTTAACACTTAACATGGACACACTGTGTATTTGTCCATTGTTTGCTTTTCCCCATCAATACATTACTGTTAGGACAGGGATTCTGTCTAACTGTTCTATCTCCCAGTGTCTAGAACCTATGCATAGTAGGTGCTCAACAGATGTTTTCTGAATGAATTCAAAAGATTAAAAGTAAAATAAATGAGGAATTACAGCTAAAATAAAATAATTATAAATTTTAAATAAAACCAACTTTGCAAGTTTGTCAGTATTTCACAAATCCGCTTTAATTAATATTAGCATGTTTCTTACCCGAAGTCTCTATGTAGTAATGCGTAATTGCCTTCCAGTGATAAACAAAATCTTCTTGTAAAGGAAGGGACGGTGCAAGCTACGCAAAGAAACACACAAAAAAGACCACAATTAAGAAAATGGCATTGCAAGTTTCCCCATATAAAATATAACAGCATTTGTCAACTAATAATACAAAAACAGTAAAAATAGGGTGGCCTTTTAATTTGAGCAAAACCCAGGAGAGCAAAAATGATTGTGAAAGAAGAAAAACACATTTATGAACATTGTTATTAAACTACAGTACTGGGGAGTGACCCCTCCTCTGAAATTACTACTTTCAAACCTAATGGTGTTCAAGGAAAACGGAATATTCTATTACTATTAAGTATCAGTAAAGTGAAGTTTTCGATAACCAGAGATCTTTGTACCTAGGACTTTGAAATGCCCAACAGCACAGCAGTGCTATATAATTAGTACACATCACCACTACTCAGACATATACCAAAGTCAACCTGTAATCAGATTCCAACTGTTCCCTACTTTCAGAGACTTAGTCATGTCTTGTATTTTTTTTAAGCTTGGATTAGGCAAAATAACTACATAAACAAGACACTACCCATTTAAATCCCACAAAGCCAAAAATGTTTTACATTATAGCTTTTAAGACCAAAATGATATCCCTTCAGCCATCTCAATGTGAAACTACAAGTATTTCAAATACATGTTAAATGGACAGAAAAAGACATGGCTGCCACCTTGTATGCTTTCTTTTCTTTCCTTTTTAAAAAAATATTTATTTTTATTTATTTATGCATAGGGGTGAGAGGATTCACCAGACACAGTGGGGAGCAGAACAGGCAGATCTACTGAAATACACTGCTGAGGGGAGCAGCGGGGAAGGCAGGAGAGGTCTGCTGTGCCATGTGGGTCAGCTCCCTGGCCGGGGATCAAACTCAGGCCTTAGCAACGATAACGCTAAGACTTAACCCCTAGGCCACCAGACAGGCCCAACTTTTCTTTCTTTCTTTATTTTTTTTTAAAGATTTATTTATTTATACAAGCACTGGGTACAGTCAGAAGCGCGGGAGGGTGAGAGAATTCACCAGAGCCAGAGCGGGGAGCAGAGCAGGCAGAAGGACCAAAGTACATTGCTGAGGGGAGCAGTGGGCGTGGCAGGAGAGGTCTGCGCGCCATGTGGGACCCTCGCCTGTGGCCGGGATCGAACCGGCGCTGCAGAGGCTGCAGGCAGCTTCACAGCCCAGGGCTCAACTGCTGTGCCACTGGGGAGGCCCAACTTTTTTTTCTTTAAAGAGAGTAAGAGCAAGGGAGAAGTTCCCCAGTCCTAATGCGATCATTAAATTTTGGTCAGAAAGCACAGAGTTGATCCTGGTAACTGAATAAATGGGTTTGTGCTCTGCAAACCTCAACTATAGCACAGTAACCTTCCATTTTCATATACTACATCTAAATGGAGGGCCCTTGTGAAATTTTGATTTCTTGGTATCCTAGCAAGACCTCAACATTCAAATCCTGGCCAAACAATTTCCCAGTTATGAACACTGGACACAGACAAGTGTTTCAATACAGAAAATGGAATGTACTTGAGAAAAACACGGAGTTAAAAACTGTTTGGCAATCATTAGCATCTTCATACCAGCTCTTCCACACTTGCCAATTCGCACCACTATGAATGGACAGGATTAACAAAAAATATGTAGCACACAACACATCTTCAAATAGAAAGCCATGAAATTTTTAAAGACTTAAGGATAGTTAACATAGATCTTAATTTGAAAGCCTTTGTGGTTAGGATTCTTCAAGAAGAATATGGGTAGAGAAAAAACATGGGAAAATGAGAACAAAATTAGAAAAATAGGAATGAAATAACTTGGGAAAACAGAATAATCTTCCTGAAAATTTTAGATGAAAAAAATCCACTTTAACCAGCCACTTGTTTTTAGTTAGAAGTCTCTTCATTATACATATAAATTTTCTCTGGTTATACATATAACAAGAAATTTTTAGATGAAAAAATCCACTTTAACCAGCTACTTGTTTTTAGTTAGAAGTCTCTTCATTATACATACAAATTTTCTCTTTGGACCTGGTTTTTATAGACCAACTTAATATAGTTAAATGTTTTATTGTTTGGGACAAACCCAAATGAAACGTGGTGTTTCAAGAAATGTATCCTGTTTCTTAACTATAAATATTGCAATCTGTTAACGTCAAGGAAATTCCTGGGTATATAAGGAATTACAGCATCCTCGTTCCAGACTTAACGCTCTCATAAGGGTAAGTCACTAACTTGGAGGAACTATGCTGCTACAGCCAAGTTCAAAGCAGGATTATTACATGGGCCTACCTCTCTCCCAGGGTTATATTTAAACAAAAAACCTATTTAAGTAGACAAGGAAACAGTTCTAAACTGTTACTTAGTTTAGCAATAATCTTGTTCAAACATGAATACAATTTCTTATTTATATAAAATTTCTTGGTCAATTTGCTTTATTCATTACCAATTCTAACATGCAAAATAATCTCTTTGTCATTTCAAAAAAATGTATGCTCTAGAGGGGAAAAAAAGGAAAGATGTGTGAATCAGGGTAATGGGGATTCACATTTGAGTTAACCTTTTACAAACAGAGACTAAATATTTGAAAGTTCATGCAGTCACTATGTCAACCACAAGCCGACATCGAACCCAACCTGGGCATCATTTTCTCTGGGAAGTCAGGCTTCCTGCCTCAGATATGGCCTGAGGCACCCTCTGCTCCCTCTCATTTAGCCCCTGTGGCATGTGTGTAATTATTGAATTAGCCATCTCTTCCAACAGATTGTAAACTCTACAAGGTCAGGGCTGTGTCATCTTTTTCATGACAGAACCCCCAAGTTCCAATTCAGTGATCGCAGATATGAAGCGCTCAATATTTATGAGAGAGTAAATGAACAATACAGCAGTTGCGGGGTGCCAGCTCAGGGCTATTAAGCCTACACTTATTGTGTGGTCTTAAATTCTCATAACAAACTCCTATTAAGACCCAAAGTCAGTTAACTACCTTGGCAAATGAAACCCTACTTGCAACTAGAAACCCAAAAGCCTTGCTCCAAAACACCTTCTCCACGAAAGGACTGACTTTGGTAGTCTGGATGCAAACGAGTGTTCTAACAGTCTAACTGCTTATTGTCTCACACCCAGGTATCATGAATATTCTACACCTGGATCTTTTAAAAATGCTTCTCCCCCATAACTTTCTTGATGCCCTTCCTATCTTCTTTTGCCCCTCCAAGTTCAGCTTCAGTCTCACTTACTTAGTGCCTTCTCCAACTACACCAAATCCTGAGAGCGTGCTCCCTTCCTCCTAAAGAACTCACTAGCGGACCAATCATCGTCACGGTTAACATTTATTAAGCGCTTACTGCGTGCCAGGCACTACGCTAAGCACTTCATGCATACTATCTCATCTTAACTTTCAGAACAATACTATGAGGTCGGTATAATTGTTTCTATATTACAATGAGGAAATGGAAATGCACAAAGATTAAGTAACTCTTTGGTATAAGAGGAACAGGTATAAAAGTAAGGGACAGAGGCAGGTCTGGGACCCAGTTCTGTCTGGTTCTAGGGGCTGGTCACACTCTTGTTCATTCCTTTGGCTGGGGTGTTTATTTGTCTCCCAAATTAGAGCCTAGGCATCGTGAGCCCTCTAAGCTGATCTCCTTACTAAGTCATGCTTTCACGGTGGGCTTCTTTGCTGCATGATTAAAGGTTTGAAGTTAGAGATCACTTGCTAGAAAAAAACACTTAAAGGGCTATATATGTTAGAAGTTTTAATTCCCAGTGCAGAGTAGATTGTTTAAAAAATTGCCAGTCCCAACAATCACCAACTGTGAACCCTAATTTGGAAAGAAAATACTGCCTTCAAATTCTGAAAAATTACTTTCATTGATCATTTAAAATAAATAAAATTGTGTTCCCTGACAGTGCCCTTTATCCTCTAGGGAAAATATCTGCCCTCAATGGGTGGAACTGCCTGGAATTTTAAAGGATTCAGCCCCCAGCAGATTACCTAACACAGACCAGGCCCTCCACAAATATTGAATTTTTGCACTAACTGGAAGGTGTTATATTTATCCTTTGGAGAAGGTATGCTGAAAGGATTCAGTCCAATATCAGAACTAACTAAGAGAGCCCTGACTTTTAATTTAAGCTTGTAGAAACTGGCCAGCAGGATAGAGTGATTTCATAAGAATCTTACTAGTCCATCATTTTTATACTGTGGAGAGACTGTTATTTCTGAAAAGGGAGGCAAGAACTACTATGCAGTTTTTGGTTTTGATCAAGGTGTGAACTTCTCTCCTAAACACAAATACATCAACTTAACTCATTTTTAAAAATACTAATCTTTGAAGAAAACACAGGTTATTTTTTTCCTTGTAAATAGTTAAGAGGAGAAACCACTAATTAAACAGTTAAGGAAACGTATACATTTAAACCACATTTAAGTGAATGTTTCTGGTGAAGCTGAAAAAACCATCTGAAGGCTGTTGCAATCAAATAAAGAAACCAAGAAAGTTATACTACCAAATTGGCTGGGAAGCTATCAGTCTCATGCAAGGACACAAATGAAAGAGGTCAAGTTGGTCTCTGCATCTCTCATCTGCATAATCAGGGTAATTATGTTAAAAGCAAGACTATATAAAAACATTGACTAGAAATTAAGAGTACAGAGAAAAACTAATGAAATGAACTAAAGAATTTTAAGATTTATTTATAGGAGAAAATGTCAAGCAAGTAAATACACTGAATCGAAAAAACTGAAACCAATCTTGGGTTAGAAAAAAACAATCTTCAAGTATCACAAGGATGGCTTATTTATCATTATGTATGAACTCACTGCCAAGAGAATGTTAAAAGAAAAAAAAAGTACACCCAAATTTTTTCATGAGATTTAACCTCCAGTCATGGGAAACTGGAAGTGCCACAGCTGAAAATACTAATTGTAAGCAAATAAAAACATCACTCTTCTAAATAGAATGCATTTGTTCTAGGATCAGATGATTACAATCCACTCTTAACTTTTCTTACTAATCTCAGTCAAGTAAAGAACCTGGATATCACAGGGCCACAGTCAGATAATCTACATGGGTAATTTGGCTGATATACAATTATAAGAAAATAATGGGGACCAAAAAAAAAAAATCACAGGTCTCAGGACAAAAATGGATCTTTACTGGAAGAGCAGGAAAACCATCTGCCTTTCTTTAAAGTACTTATTTTTTAAACATCAGTCTGATTTGTAAAGCGCATAATGTGATAAATTTTTATTCTCAATTATTTCAATATTAAACTGTATTAAATGTTGAAAAATTCAACGATTGTTGGTGCTTTAAGTTAAAAAATAAGTTAAATGCAAATGTCAGTTTTTACAAACTTAAATTATTCTAACATAAGCTGTAGATTGTGTATAAGAAAAAAAACTCAAAGTTGTCTTAAGTCTACAGCTGTTGCCTCCCTCTTTTGTAGTAATGTTTTTCATTTGCAAACCCTTTTTCTTGATTTTATCCATACATTTCCAAGAGCTTGCAGTAGAGCTAAAAATTACTGTTAAAAATTTCCTACATGTCATCTAAAGTAATAATCGTAGTAACATTTTGCTTTCATTGTTACATCTTTTAAATCCATTTCATTTTTGCTATCCGGCCATAAAAACCTGTGTTGTTGTAATGTGTTTTATATCACATCTGAACACAGAAAGCAAGACATTTTTAAAATTAGCAAAGGAATCATTTCTTGACAGGATGCACTTTCCAATTGGGGCCGTTCTCCCAGCAGTCAAGGAAAACCTCCAAAGTCAAGCGCATAGACCTCTTATAATAAGACCAGCAAGACTTTTATTTTCCTTTTAGCTACTTCTTTCCCCCCAGTCTGTGAGACTATCTGAAAGGTGCTCTCTGCTGGAGCCTGAAATCCTCAAGGGGCGAACACAATAGCAGGGAAATCGCAGACCGTCCAGGAAGGAAACAGATGGTCTCGGGGCTCACTGAGGACTGGGGCGCTACCTAGACCGGGTCCGATCAGCCCCTCCAACTCCAATCTCACAGCAACTACCAGGGCTCAGCTGAGTTGGGCCGCGAAGTCAAAAGCCCAGGAGAGGACGAATCGGGGGCGCCGGGCCGCTCCCCGCAGAGTCGCCCAAGGCAGGTGCACCCCCAGCGCCCCACCCGCCGCCCCCAGCCCCGCCGAGCCGGCCGGCGGGGTCAGGCCCCGTCTTTTGTCTCGCCCCGGCTGCCCCCGTTTTCCGGGAGGTTAACGGTCAGGCCGTGAGGGAAGCGCCCGGGCCCCCGCGGGCCCCGCCGCCCGGCCCGCCGCCGCCGTCCCGCACCCGGCCCTGGGCGGCAGGAGGGGGGCCGGGGGCGCGGGGGCCGGCGGGGCGCGGGGGGCGGGCACCCCCGAGCCGCGGCCCCGGGGCGCCCGCCGGGCCTGCCTCGCGCGCGGGCCCCGCCGCCCAGGCCGCCGCCGCCGGGGCCCTCACCGCCTCCACGGCGTGCTGCAGGATGGAGGTGAACTTGGAGAACATCCTGTCGCGGGACTGCAGCAGCCGCTCGCGCGACGCCCTGGAGAGCTCCTCGATGCGCCGCCGCCGCGCCTGCTGCGGCTGCCGCGGCCGCTCCAGAGTGAAGGCCGGTGCGGGCCGCGGGGCGCGAGCGCGGGGCCGAGGCCGCCCGGCCCGGCCGCTTCGGGGCGCGCGGGCGGCGCGGCGGCTCCGGCGGCCGCGGGGACGTGGCGGGCGGCGAGGAGGCGATCGGCGCCGACCGGGCCCCGCGACGCGCTGCCGGGGCTGCGGCTCGGGCTCGGACACGGTGGCAGCCGGGCTCGGTCCTTCCGCCCGCTCTGCGCGCCGCGGCCTGCAGGGGGCGCCGCCGCGGCCCGGGGAAGCCCGGCCAGGCCGGCGGGGCGGCCGGACGCCGCGGGGGCGGGGCTGGGGGCGGGGCCGAGTGGCCGGACGCCGCGGGGGCGGGGCCGAGCGGCCGGACGCCGCGGGGGCGTGGCAGGAGCGGGACCGGTCGCCCGCCGCGGGGGCGGGGCCAGGGACGGGGCCCAGCGGCCGGACGCCGCGGGGGCGGGCCGAGGGCGGGGCCGCGGCGGCCGGACGCCGCGGGGGCGTGGCAGGGGGGGACCGGTCGCCCGCCGCGGGGGCGGGGCCAGGGGCGGGGCCGCGCGGCCGGACGCCGCGGGGAAGTGGTAGGGGCGGGGCCTGTCGCCCGCCCCGTGGGTGTGGCGTGGGCGTGGCCGTCTCGTGGGCGTGGCCAACCTGTGCGCGAGCCCCGCGGCGCTGCAGCCTCCCCCCGCCCGCTGCTTCTGGGGCGCCGCGGGCCCCCAGCTGCCGGCGTCTGTCGCAGTCAGCCTTTCTCCCTCACTTTGGTTTCTCCGGGGGAAGGAGCACGCCGATTTTGCAGGGACACGTCGCCCTCTGTGTGTGTAGTATTCAGCTTGGTCTTTTCAGGGCAGACTTAGAAAACGAAAGAAAAAACCTAATATTCCTAAGTAAATGCTGAGGATGAGAACCTATCACAGGCTCCGTTCCCTCTAAGGGGTTATTATGACGATCAGCTATTCGGCATGAAAACAGGAAGCCCCAGTGGACGCTGACAACACGGTTGGGCGCGCTCGGTCACGTGGCGGAGGCGCGGTCACCGCTGCAGCCGCTGCTGCTCGGCGCAGAGGGGCCTGGACGGGTCAGGAAGGGGCAGAATACGCAGGACTCTGCCAAAGGTGTGGGGCGGGTGGGTGGAGGTGCAATGTCAGCCCTTGGGTGGAAGCTTCTTAAAATACGGTGCAACCTGTGTGAGGCAGGCCTTGGGAAGAAACATCATTCAGACCGGGAAATTGGGTTGATACAAATTATGACATTGCTCACATCCTGGGGAACTTTGTGTTTTTCCTAGCTGTGGCATTTTTTAATCAAAAGAACCATTACCCGAGGATGTGGAGAAAAAGGAACTCTCCTGCACTGTTGGTGGGAGTGCAAACTGGTCCAACCACTATGGAGAGCTGTGTGGAGATTTCTGGACCTACTAAACATAGAGCTTCCATAGGATCCAGCAATTCCACTCCTAGGTATTTACCCAAAGGACACAGAAACATCCATTCCAAAGAGCACCTGCACCCCTATGTTTATAGCAGCACTGTTTACAATAGCTAAGCTTTGGAAACAGCCCAAATGCCCAAAAATAGATGACTGGATCAAGAAGATGTGGTACATATACACCATGGAATATTACTCAGCATTCAAAAAAGAGAAACACATGCAATTTGCTGCAACATGGATGGCGCTGGAAGGGATCATGCTCAGCGACATAGGCCAGAAAGAAAAAGAAAAATACCGGATGGTCTCACTCATAGCAGGAATCTAGAAAACTTAAATAAGGGACCAGGAAAATGAATAAGAAAGTGAAAATCAAAATCATGAACCACAGACACTCTATGGGGGTGGGGGCCGGGGAGGGGAGGGATTGGGGTCAAAATAAGGGGGTTGCAATTGTATGGGGAATATAAAAATAAAATTTATTTAAAAAAAAAGAACCATTACCAACGAGCATTGATAAGAAGAGGGGGGAGTAAGTTTTGCACAACCAGTGATGAAAAAAATATGTATTCGTCATTGAATTCATTAAACAGAGAAAAGGTAGCATGTGGAAGGGTGTTCTGGAGGTGGCAGGTCGAAGCTTACATTCCAGCTCTGTCAGTAAGGAGTTATTTCACCCCTCTGTGCTTTAGTTTCCTGATCTGTAAAACTGAGGAGAATAACATAGACCTGATGAAGTTGTGTAGGAATTGATGAATATATGTAAACTCTATTTTACCTGTGCCCAGTCCATAGTAAGAGTTGTATCAGCACTGATTGTTGTCATTATTAGTAATAAAACTATTTAACAATAATAGGGTCAGAAATCAAGACTAGTTTATCAAATTTACTTTAATCAAGGAGACAAAGTCTTGCCATCATTTCTGCTGTTTTTTTTTTTTTTTTAATAGAGGCATGCTTTATTTATTTGTTTGCTGGTTTGTTTGTTTGTTTTGTTTATACATGCACTGGGTACAGTCAGAAGCGCGGGAGGGTGAGAGAATTCACCAGAGCCAGAGCGGGGAGCAGAGCAGGCAGAAGGACCGAAGTACACTGCTGAGGGGAGCAGCGGGCGGCAGGAGAGGTCTGCGCGCCATGTGGGACCCTCCTCCGGTGGCCGGGGAGCAGCCGGGGATCGAACCGGCGTCGCAGAGGCCGCGCGCAGCTTCGCAACCCAGCGCTCAACCGCTGCGCCACCGGGGAGGCCCCATTTCTGCTGTTTTTGTTGCTTATATCCGTGACTGACAGGTAAATTTGACTTTAGTTTTCTGTGTAGTAGTCCCCAGAATGCTAAAGGGATCTACTCTTATTTGCTGGAAATTGGAATGTGTGCCTTACCAAATGCTAGTCAATTGTGTCTGCTTCAACCAAGAGCCTATAATGTATATTATTATTACTATTATTTACATAGTTTAAGATAGTTACTCATATCGTTAACCATAATTATTTTCCTGACCTAATTATCATATATTTATATGGTATTTTGTGTTGCCGTAATGCCTTACAACCACTAATTGTGGGCATTTGATGATGCCTGCTTTATGTACTTATAAGCACAACAAAATACACATTTTACTGTAGATTAATATCAATATTTAGGGTGGTGATTCATCTACCTGATAACTGGGTTCCAAAACATACAAGACTAGAATGATAACTGATATTCTTACTACCTATTCTCAACCCAGAATGCTAATATTATCACCAATCTTATGCATGGGTAGAGTTGGACTTATTTCAACAGTGTGATTTGAGAAAGCGTAGCAAGGGTTTCCCATAGCCTCCAAAACACTTAGAGTGTTCCTCAATTAAAACTTCATTTCTTTATTCCATTGGCTTAAAACAAATAAGAGATTTAGTTCCTGCTAATATTAAAATACTCTTGGGAGCAATAACATATTAGATTTTATCATTCATTATACCTCAAGTGAATGAATTCATTAAATTTTTGAATGAAGTTTGATCACTAATGATACAGAAAAATACCTAAGACTGAAATGCACTTGGGTTGGAGTTAAAAAAAGAGAAGATTAGAGTAGATGATACCTGCTTTCAAAGTTTGGCAGACTTCTGCCCAAGCACATGAAAATTATTGTTAAACATAAAAAAATTCTAGTCCAAAACGGAGTCCTTTATGGAGGTGGGACACCCAGACTGTACCAATTGTAGTTTCAACAAAAGTATAGTCCTATAAACCAATCGATCTCAAGTTTCCCAATCAGCACTTATCAGGTCATCTGCATGAATATAGCCCCTTATCTTCCCTGGCTTTACCTGAAATAATCTTTTGTTAATAACCACATCGCATCCCCTCTCTGTCTGTAAATACCCTCATTTAATGTAAACTGTTGCAGTATGTAGACTGGATGCCGCCTTACATGAATCCTTCAATAGAGCCAATCAGATCTCTAAATCTGTGAATTGTGTTTCTTAACACAGTAAAGGGATTTTCCAAAATATAAACCCAAAAGGATAAATAAATGAAGAGATGAGATAACACAATTTTGAGAATTGGAAAGTCAATAAAGGAGGTAACTGATGTGGCTGACCTAAGAAAGCTGAATCCTAAGGTAAAAATGAAAACCAAGATCTAAAGTACTTTATTAGGGCCTCCCCGGTGGCGCAGCGGTTGAGCGCTGGGTTGCGAAGCTGCCCGCAGCCTCTGCAGCGCCGGTTCGATCCCCGGCTGCTCCCCGGCCACCGGAGGAGGGTCCCACATGGCGCGCAGACCTCTCCTGCCGCCCGCTGCTCCCCTCAGCAGTGTACCTCGGTCCTTCTGCCTGATCTGCTCCCTGCTCTGGCTCTGGTGAATTCTCTCACCCTCCCGCGCTTCTGACTGTACCCAGTGCTTGCATAAATAAATAAATAAATCTTTAAAAAAAAAACTGGAAAAAAAAAAATAAAGTACTTTATTAATACCTTCACAGGACCTCTCAAATGGCTCAGAAGTAGGTAGCATAATACCCCTGGAATTAGAGGTAAAGGTGGTACCCAGACTGACAGAACAGAGGGAAAGCTTGTATAGAATTGGATGCTCTCTACTCCGCAGGTTGGCTGACTGCTCTTTTCCCACCCTGGTTTAAGATTAGCTACTTAGGGCCTCCCCGGTGGCGCAGCGGTTGAGCGCTGGGTTACGAAGCTGCCCGCAGCCTCTGCAGCGCCAGTTCGATCCCCGGCTGCTCCCCGGCCACCGGAGGAGGGTCCCACATGGCGCGCAGACCTCTCCTGCCGCCCGCTGCTCCCCTCAGCAGTGTACTTCGGTCCTTCTGCCTGCTCTGCTCCCCGCTCTGGCTCTGGTTCTGACTGTACCCAGTGCTTGTATAAATAAATTTAAAAATCTTAAAAAAAAAAAAAAAGATTAGCTACTTATTCCCAGAAAGGGCAAGGACTCCACACTGGGAAAGGAAAAAGGGAGAGGATAAAATGAAAAGAAATCTTAAAAAAAAAAAATAATTGGGTAAAAACTTTTAGATAATGTTCTTCATTAATATTACAAATGGCTACAAACATAACCCAAAAAGGGTTATGTTCTTTACAGGCACAAATTAATTTTGGCTCAAAGTTATTTGGCATAAATTTTGTCAGCACAATATCAAATATTGTATTCAGGATTAACTGGGAGGGGAAATTATGTGTGTGTGTGTGTGTGTGTGTATACACCACTTTGGAAAAGTGCAAAAATAGAGGCATTTATTTAAAATTTTTATTTGTCATTTAAGCATATTATAGTTAATAAATAAAATTTATTAGATATTAAAAAAAAAAAAAGAAAAGAAAT